CCCCCGTTATCGATCACGTCGGAATCCCGGCGCGTTCCCGCCGTAGCAACCTCGCACGTGGTGCTCTCATGTCCTTCGATTTCGAGAAATTTTTTTTCCGGTGCCGATCTATTGTATGACCTTTTTTTATGTATCGCTCCTCTTTCTCCTCGTTTTATCCCGTTATTTTCTAATCTTCCGACTTAGTTCCAACTTGGGAGTTTTCAGAAAATTGCCATGGTCAGTAGTATTTTACACTGTTAGGTCGCGTAAATACAATAGGATTGTATCGTGTATACGGTGAATTATGGGTCCGTTCGTTTTTTTTTTTTTTTTGTTACTTTCTACAGTAATTTTTTTTAGAATTCTTTCCCTCGCTCTTCTTCCATACTCGATGGCTAAACGTATGCTCAGTTCGTTTTAAATGTTGAATGTGTAAGCAAGAGCAGCTAAAAAGAATGGATCTCATGGCTGAGTCAGGAAGTTACAAAAATGGAGCACGCAAGTAAGATTATAAATTTTAATTAAGATTATATTATAGTAATATTGCATAAAAACGGAGCACACGTATTTTCCGACACATTCTCTATTTTGTAATGTATTATTTACAACAAAGTCAACTTAAATTTTTCACCGATTTTTCATTCAACAGATATCTAATTTATTTTTTTTTTTTTAATTATTATCTCCGATGAAAATATTTTATAAATTTCTTATGAAAGCGATATCTTTCTTATCTTTTTATTTTCAGTTTTTATACAATTTATATTTTCGCACGCACAAATGTGAAAATAAAACACGCGCAAAACATTTTATTCGCGCTGCGTCACATTGCAAGTTGCACATTAAGACTCGAGAAAAACGTAGATATAATTCCTACATACCGTTTATATTGGAGCACATGCTTTATCGGTGCAAACACGTTTTATAAGGCACTCGTATTCGAAGCCTGTCTCTTCCACTACCGTCCTCTCGAGGTCGAGCGATGGACAGCAAAGTATTCGATCAGACACGTCGGTACTCGGAAAACGCAGAATTCCTTTATATTCCTTCGTATTGAACGCCGTTTCTCATTATAAAATCTATTAGAAAAACGTTGAATTCGCGTGCTTGAAACTAAATTGATTGCGACGATTGATGAGGAGAAATAGGAAAATTATATTTTTTCTCGCGTATAATATAGGATAGGATAATAAAATAACTGAGATAATTGTAAAATATCTAAAAACAGACAATACTTCAGCGAGTAAAATATTAAAACTGTTCCAGTAGTTTTAATCAATATAATACAACAGCAGGACAAAAATGATGACAGATTAAAGTAACAGAGATCAATCCATTTTCGTATTTTATTTAAGAAACATGTGTTATTAAAACATTTTGTTATTTAAAGCTGTTTAAATAGAAAAATTGGAGCATTATTAGTTACAATTGTTTTAGAGTTCTGAAACTTTAATAAGACATGTAGACTGAAAATACACTTTTTAATTTTTGAAAAAATTAGTAGGTAAAGATTCCTCGTTATTTTAACCGAGAGAAGGTGCATTGATACAAAGGATCAAGGCGCGAAATATCCTTTTACGTATTATTAGCATCGGGTAGGAGTCTTGATAAATAAGTTTCATAAATTAATAATAATAAGAGATACAATCTTTAATAAATAATATAATCTTTTCAGCCTCTTACGAGACAAATAGTAAAAAAAAAAATAAATTCGAATAAAAATACACACACAACACACAACTTGACACATCTGCTCCGCTCCGGTGCACGACCGGAAGCTGACTAAGGCGCGAAACGGAAGAGCATGAGTCGAACCGAACGGAGCCGACGACGTGTACAGTCGCCGCCTCGTCGCGACATCTAGCGGTGTTTTAGTCAACTAGCTCTCTCCCTCTCCTCTCTGCGCACATCGTACGCCGCCATTGTTAACCTGCCTCGCTTTGCGCCGCTCCGCCGCTGCCGAGACGACGTCGACGAGGACGAGGACGAGGACGACGTACGGGCGCACCGCGGTGTCAGCGAACCCCATTTCGTCGCTCGTGCGTACTCGCCAACGGGCGTTTATCCAAGTGTCGCGTTCGCGTACATCGCGAGAATCGTTTCGTTACGTTTTTGTGCATCTCGGGGGGGGCCCCGTCGACGAAACACCTCGTCCAGAGGGTGGAAGCGAGACAGAGAAAAAGAAAGGGAGAAAAATCGATCAGTTAACGTGATTTAGCGAATTCGCGAATTAATAGTTCTACGTATAACATAGATAAAGAAAGAAAATTCGAACAAATTACGGTGCATTAGAAAAAAATAAGAATTTAATATTACGGTGCATTAGAAAAAAATAAGAATTTAATATTATTATTAAGTATATAACATAATTATGTCTAAACAGCTGTTATAAGGAATGTATTCCGGATAGGGTAATGTTTTGGAATTTTGAAGTAAGATTGAAGAAAACATTTTTTAATACGCTGACAATTGTTAAGAAAGATATATAATATATAAATATATATAAATTTTATTTAAATATACATTTCGTCAATATAATACTGCTTCCCTTTCTCTTCTATTAATTACATTTATATTCTCCGCCTCATAAATATAATGAGTATATCTCACACTTCCTATAATTCATTTTTACGGAAACTATCTAATTTACAGTTTACATTTTGTTTACGAAAACGTCAAACGCTAATATTTTTCCAATTAGAAGCGATTGTAAAATCTATGAAAATATAAAAAAATACAGAAATAAAAATACATGATAAAACTTTCTTTTTTCTTCGTTTAAAGTACCAAATATATTAAGAGAAATTTGATTTTCAAGATTTTATTTTACAAACATATTTAATCAGTATTAAAGTGAACAAAGATAATTTAACCCAATTTTTATTGAAAAAAGTCATTAAATTTGTAAAACTAGAGAAAATGAGGGAAAAAATGGTAGAAAAATATATAAAGAATTTAAAAAGAATTGATTCAAAGGAACAGATTTAAACCTATCGATTCTATTAGTATTAGATTTAATCTTGTGCATCATTGGCATATCTTTTTTTTAATACTGTCCACCTTTTTAAAAATAAGACAGATATACATTCACACGCGAGAGAACAAGAATTGAGTTAAAGTATGACTGAAAAGAGCAGGTCTAATGTCTATACAAGCGACCCATGGGGTTGATCAACTGTATCAAGCTTTGATTGGCTATTCAATCGGCTAGCGATATCTTCTTCCCCTTATTACACACGATCCTCTGCATCATACAATCGTAGCCGTAATAAAGATACAGAGGAGAGATTAAAGGCTAACCGACGTTGGTGCAACCGGCTCGACTTCGCGGTTGCCTTTTGTCCCATTCCAGATAGTAGCCGACAGTTTTCTCTTACCGACCTGTTCCTGAGTCATCCTCAGGGTACCCGGAGATACCTGAGATCATCAGCAGTTTCATCCTTGATTTATCTATTTTTTTTTGTATTGCATTTGTAGAGCCTCGATAAATTATAACTGAGAATATTATCTTGTACAGCAGGTATAATTTATCGCCCTATATTAAAAAATGTCTCAAATATAATCTGGGCTTAAATATCATCTATGAAATATATTTGACACGGCTTTTTGCGAAATTCGTCATTAATAATTAAGTCTATATGTATATCTGCAAAGTATTATAAGAGACAAATAGTTTATTAACGTATTTCATTTTTTAAAGCTCGCCATTATGTGCTATTATTATTACAATTATTGTTTATTATTGCGTTTATTGTTTGATTAGTATAATTAATTGATATTATAATTTTAATTAAAAAATATCGTTGCATATCGTTACATTTTTAAATTATTTAATTCGCGTTAAATTTATATTATAAATATTGTTTTTGTTATAATATATGAATTATGTTCTTTGAAATACAAATTAACGAAATATAACGATACGAATAGCGTATTACATAAAAATGTGAATGTCAAAAGTCATCATCGATCACATTCTAATTAGAATCTAATGTCATCATGACTGAGAAGACCACACACATTTAATTTGATAAATGATCATCGTTATTATTCCTAGAATCGAAAGATCGATTTGAGCAGTAAATGTAGTATATTGAGAGCAACGACTGCGTACAAAGCGACTTTAATGATAAAATAATGTTTGTTTTTTCCAACAACGTAAATCAATTCGTCTCGTTTGTCATCAAGATATAAAACTGCTAATCATTATCATCATTATTTGAATAGTGATTCACAGTATGAATAAACAATATTCTATTCGAAATAATCGTGAGTATTAGTTAGAAATTACAGCGGTGTGTATAGGTCTATGTGTGTGTATGTATGTATATATATATATATATATATATATATATGTTGTCTGTCTGGTATTTATTTATTTTAGTCTTTATTTATTAAGTATGCCGAGTTGCGGCAGCCTTGGAGATCAATAACTGGATCACATTTAAGATAAATATAACGCAAATATATCGGTGATCTCGTTGAAGCAGAGATGGAAACTTGTTCTGCATGCGTTCACATATAACGCGAAATGTATAGATTTTAAAAAGATCTATCGATGGAGTATTTTATACGACGAATGTGTGTAGATAAATCTTTTGTGTGATCCAAGATACTTTTTCAAGAAAAAATAATATTAAAAATATTTTGTACTTATGAGACTATATCGCTTAACGTTATAGCAGAACCAGAATATATATATAAGAATATATTGTTAATTATAATTATTCAATTTAAGTTATTGACGTGGCACTTGTCTTAGTAACGCAGTAAATTTATTTAGATATGGATACAAACATTTTTTATTTTAGATCGCATATAATACCCCAACTTTTAATGCAGATTTTCCGAAATAGAACTATTTTCCTCGTTTCCAGAGATGTCAACATAATGATTTGCGATAACCCTTCTTATATATTGCGAATAAACAAATATATATAATAGCACTATATTTTCCTCTTTTCTAGAGACGTCATCATAATTATACTATTCGTTGATTTGTTTATTCGCAATAATATAAGAGGGGTTATCGCAATCATTATGTTGACGTTTCTGGAAACGAGGAAAATAGTTCTATTTCGGAAATCTGCATTAAAGATTGATGTATTGTACGTGATGTAAAATAAAAAATGTTTGTGTCCATATCTAAATAAATTTACTACGTTACTATGACAAGTGTTTAGTCACGTCAATAACTTAAATTGAATAATTATATCTAGTTAACGGTATATTCTTTGCCCCTTTCAGAATTATAGTCCTACCTATAATACAGGTTCTCCCACTGCTATCAAACGTCGTTTCAGCCACACAGTTTCTATAGGACAGACGAGAATAATGGCGATCGCGGAATAATTCAATATTGAAAGAACATTATTGCAACATTATGAAAAGGATAGATCCTCAGAGAGAAATAATGAGGAATAGATATTAAATTATCTTTTTTTGATCGATTTCAAATGGAACGTAAAACTAAAATTCCAATTTTCTAGAGTATTTAAAAAGCGTTTTTTTTTTTTGGAAGCAGTCAACGTCGTCAAATCAACGTCTTCCCTTTTTCTAAAATCAGGTCATACCAGAAATATATTCTTCAAATGAAAAATTAAACTAAGCTTATAAATTAAGATCTAAAAATGATTTCTTTCCCGTAAAATAAATTAAATTACATTATTATGACAAATAATACTCTTGTATTTTTATCAACGATTACATAAAACCCTCTTTTTTTAGCACATCCAAAAATTATAAAATATGTAAAGGTCAAAAAGATATTACATACGAGATGCTCTCGATAATTATATTGTCAACTCAAAATACACTTGTACGTGTCCAACGACGTTATTAATATCAAGTATGTTAGCGTCCGATCGAGATTGATCCTTCAGCGCGAAATGTCACGATCGATACTGCGTGACGGATGCGTAAAACGTGCGTGCGGATATGGGCTACGAGTGCTCTTGCGTCCGCGGAACGCGAGACAGAAGCGTTTTACATCGGTGTTGCATTGCTAACGTAAGTCGTGACAAAGCAGAGCGGTACACGTGTATCTTGTTAAATAATGCATCACCGTTCTTTCCATTCACGTGGCAATACGTACGTGGACGTTCGTCATCGCGTCTCGGACTTTACCGCCGGGTAACCACCGGGATGCTCTTTTCGTTCTATAGCCGATCGTCGCAACTCGCTCTCATTTCGATGTGATAGACGGTGGACAGTGTGTTTCGCGTCGCGAAAGCTCGCTGTCATTTATCCTTTTTTCACGAGATTCGCGATCGTGGCGTCGATCCTTGGCGAACGTTTCGACTGTCCATTTTCGACAATCTATGGCGAGGTAGCGCGATATAAGTGTTCAACTTTTTTCTCGCGACATACGTAAGGTAAATCTTGGATTTTTGTGGAAACAGTGCGATCAGAAAGGAGAAAAGAAATGTGCAGAATAATTATGTGTTCTGTCTTTTTATGAGACGGTTGTCTTCTTATCCTGTTTCTTTAGATTCTTTGGAATATAGTATATGTGTGTATATAATATATGTGTGTTGCATATATGTGACAGTGAAAACGATTATATATAATTAATATTTTTAGAAAATCATCGCGATTTAACGGTATCACGGTTAAATGATAACTATATAATAAAAATTTCATATTGATATCATAAAAATTGGTGATATTATAAAAACAACGCAATTTATGTTTATTTTCTTAAAACCATCGGTGATTGAATGAAAATATGTTTGATCTTCTTACATTTATGAATTTTTCTTCATGGAAATTTTTGTATATCAATAGGACATAGAATTTTTAATCTGCAAGTCATAGAACAGCGTTATAGAATTGTTCTCTTTTCAACATATTGATTTTATCGAGCAATTGATCAAGTTTCGAGACACATGAGCATATAGCGTGACGTAGCGTCAGCTTTACTGGCGATAAACATAAGGGAGATTTCCGTGGAACGAGAACGATTGTACGGTGAGGAAATGTTGTATGTACACGACATTCGTTCCTTTCCACGTCATAGAAAGGGATTAGTCGTTCCTTTTTCAAGGTATCAATTTTATCAAGTAAATAATTCACTTATGATACCCATGATGAAAGACATTACAGTCATACTTTCAATGTATTACGATGTCAACTTTTTCCATGTCTGTATTTTAGTGTCCAAATAAGTAAATTATTCCGTAAATTGGAACGCGAGTAAATATTATATACACGCACAGGATCTACTTCGCAAATATTTTTGTAGAATGGAATTAGGTTATTCTGATTTTAATCAAACAATATGTATCGATTAAATCGAACAAATTGTATTAGAGTTGAATCAACGAAATCAAATTAAATTTGAGCAAAAAATAATTTCGATGATTATGCTGTTGTAGGATAGAAATAAATAATATGATTAATAATTAAATATTCGATTGAATAATTGGCAACTTAATAATCCTACTTGTTTTAAATAAAATTAATCGATTATTTTTGTATCTATCTCCGTTTATTAATTTAAGAGACATTACATCTTTTCTTCCGGATTTATATATTCATGTTCAAATTTTTTTCTTTTATGCAAAATAAAAATTTTATTATATTTTATATTAATTTATACTTAATTTGTTGTTATTACACTATAACAATCGTGGCAAAGATACTATATGTACTTCAATATATATTATCTTGATATTATTTTTTAGTTCTCTTATATTTGCTTAAAGCATTTTCTAGGTAAATAAACCAAGTCATCTATTTATCTTATTTTTTTATACGTTGAATTATATCTGTCACTTTTTTCTATCCCCACTATTCATGTTTCACGTTTTATGATCGGACACGTGGTTCGTGCTACTTTATGTTACTTTACATACCGATCTACTTTTAATATTCGCGCACGATGTCATTCGCGATTATTATCTCATCGAGGTACGTTCTCTCTTCCGTTTTTTAATAATATTTTAATAACACCACACAAAGATTATATCATATAACCTATATATCTCCTATGATAGATTTTAAGCAATTAGTTATTTTACGATTGCAAAATAATTAGTTAAAGAAAAAACTTGAACGCGTATTGTTGATTGACTGAATACAAACAAAATTATTAAGCTAAAAATTAAGAGAAGATTACAATTTACAATCTCACACCCACATATTGTATTTTGATACAATTTATCAATAGTATTCATAATTTGTTTAAATCATGTATCTTTTTAAAACAGTAAATTATTTCCTCTGAGAAACAGAAATTTTTCAATGGACTAATTATTATAATTAATGCTACATAACTTTACAATATCGTATCGAGTAATAATAATGCAATGACAATGTGACATGCTCGAATTTTAATTTAAAGGTATATTGATATTAAATATAATTAGTGATCTGATCTTTCAATTATATACGATGTTATTTTACATCAATATAGTGTGTGCGATTGAATTTACAATTATATTTAACAACTCATAACTTCTCTCTGATATGATCGAAGAAAAATAAAATGCCTCTGGAAATGCTCTCTGTATGCGTCAGAAATTCGCGCACAAGACCGCCCTGCATATTTCAACGTGCGTATAATGAAAGTATGTGCGTATATTTTCCAGGATGCAGGAACCGTCGTTCCCGCGCCGAAAAGGGCTCCTCACCCCAGTGTCGGTGTTGGTGCTGCTGATACTACCATTGGTCGATCTACCCTCTGCAAACGGTGAGTCACTTATGAACGCGCCGGGCACATATGCGTGCGTGTGTGTGTGTGTGTGTGTGTGTGTGTGTGTATGCCGTGTGCAAATATGTATATCTCGATCTTGCCGAGCACGCTCATCGTCTTCGATAATGCGCGAACAATGAAGTAATAGCAAATAATTACGTCTACTCGTCCCCATATACGCGCGTCCTTAAATGCCACTTACGTAAAACGTCTTCTTTTCATATGCCGGCGTATCATGATGTTCGCTGTCACTTTAAGTCTTTAAGATCTATTGCATCAATGGTGTCAAGCGCAATGTTATCGAGTGAAGTCACCAAGTCGATGCGATGTCAGATGACATTAATTTTTAACGTCTAAGAAAATTGCTACTGTTTATTTTGCTATATATATATTTGCGCATTTTTTTTCTTTTTTTTTCAAATTACGTGCTAAAGATAAAGGAACAAGAATTTTTAGTAAAATTTATGAAAATTATTTTGATAATTCAGTGTGTGTGTGTATGTGTGTATGTGTTAAATTGTTCTCTGCAATAAGTTTATATTAATTTAAAATTTGGCATTTAAAGCTATAAAGCTTTTATTTATTGTTTTTTTATACAAATAAATAAAATACGATATTAATCACTGGCATTTTTTTATTAAATTTATTTGCACAAAATATAACGGCAAATTTCATGGTATTCCGAAATAAAGGCATATTTGATAAATACATAGAATGATATTTTTCATTGAGAGTTGAAATAATTTGTTCTCTACCAGAGTTTGATTTGACGTTTGCACAGCGAAATTTTTTTGTCATTTCAATATTTTTTAAAGCTGTAATGTTAAATAGCAGGGTATGACTATGATTCAAATCAAGAATTTATTAAAGTTACCTTAAAATTAATTTCTAAAAAATAAGTTTCCATCACTCATTTTCGTGCGGTATTTCTGAAAGAGAATAATACGCTAAGAACCCCTTTCTCTTAATGAGTTACTGCTCAAGAACTATTCATGTCTCGACATTGTCAAGGGAAAAGTCATTTCGGTCTCAGAAATATTACCACGTGGACAGCCGAATGCACCTAACACACATCGTACGAAAAGGGCATATTTAAATGTAGACTCGAGAACACACCCTACTTCCGTTAAGAAGTCTATTCGTCATGTTTTCCTCGAGTTAAGTCGTCTGCTTATATACGTTTTCTCCTGTCTCTCGCAAGTCTCTTCGTCCGATTTGGACTCTCATACGCGCGAGACTCGCTCGCGCCGCGCAGATGAGACTCCGCGCGCTCGTTAGCTCGTTAACGAGTCGTCTCCCCCGCTTTCTACGGCTTCGCGCCTTGCTCTCATCGGACCTCTCTCAAAAAGAGCTGTTAACCGTGCGTTCGAGGAGAGACGCACAAAACCGCCGCCGCCGTCTGTCGAGCGGCTGTCCGCGCGTCCGCGGTATCTGTCGCCTGTCGCCGCTTCTTCTCATCGAAGACAAATACGACAGAGATAGAGATAGAGAGAGAGAAAAAAAAGAGAGGGTCGGGAAGCGAAATGTCCCATCCCTCCCTCTCCCTCCGGGCCGCGTCGAGATAAATGATGTTCCTCCGACGAAAGATGCGTGTCTAAAACGGTCGACGGCTCTTCCTCGCCCTTCTTCCTTTTCACCCGCGTTCCACGTTGCTGGCTGCTCGGTTCGCCGCGCGCGATGCACGTGCGCACACTGTCTGACACATATAAGGTGTCCCTAGAACCTTCATTATACAATTGATTTTTCCTAGATTGAATTATAGACAGATATCGAATACGCAATAATCTTCGAGTTATAAACGCGATCGAAGATGAGTCTGCTTTTTTCGTGAATTAAAAAAGTAGGAGTGCCTCGAGAGGGCGACATTTCATTGCTCATTTAAATTTAAGTAACCCCGCCACTTTTCTGAATACTTTAGCGCTCTAATTAGAGATGATTAATGTCGGTTGTTACTTTAATGACTTTTCCCACGAAATTTCCCCTCGGAAAACAGCGACTACATTTTCGCCGATGTGTCCGTCATTAATATTAAGGCCGGATCGGTTCTCTGCGACACCCCGTAGACGTTGTCGCGTGTGTATCCCATTTCCCTTCGCGCACCCACCCTCCGGTTCCTCCGCCCTCTCTTCCCCGGCTATTTCTGACATTCGCCACCGTTCGCGCCGCCGAGCAAGCAACCACCCCGAAATGTACGCGCGCGTTCGATCGAACGCACTAAACATCGCGCGCCGGTAAATATACGCACTGCCGAACATTTGGACCTTAACCCTTCGGCCAAGGGCGTTTATCGCTTATTCTCAGGGGACCACGGCCTATAAGATTCATATTTTATAAAGAACTCCAAAGGACGGACAGACCGAAATGATTCCATTTCTCGAAATAGAAAAGGTCATTAATTCATGAAAGTCGAGTTGACATCAACTTTGAAGTCCAAAGTCATTACACACGCCAAGCTAAATGTGACAGCTTGATTCTCATCGGATAATATTGTACTTAATCTTTATGTGAGATAAAAAAGTTCAATATTTTTTATTCAATTACATGCTTTTATACCTTATTAATTGTATTCTAATGAAATGCAATACATAATATTTCCCCTCTTTTTTTATATTTTTGGGTGATAATAATATTGCAATAATAATGAGATTAATATATATTTTTCAGTACATTTTTCTTCGATCGAATAAAGAGCATTGTGTGTAATATCTTTCTCTCTCTTCTTTATAATGTAAAATATATTTTCTATATGTTTTCATATATTTATCTTACATAATTATTAGGAACTGCTATATTTATCACAATATATATGTTGTTGATTTTGCCAAAATATCTTGGAAAGTAATAAAGACTTACTTTATCGGGACGCATCTGGCAAAATGCCTCCAAGAGATTGAAGCGCCTAAAGAGCTTAACGATACTCTTCTGCCATTTAGAATCCCGATAGAGAACGAAGGCGTTCAATCATTCACGAGAGAGCTTTGCTCTCTATCAGCTAGCATTCTGCTTTGTATGTCTGAAAACGTTCCCGCTAGAACGCTCATGTCCTCTTGTCTGGCAACTTTTCATCAGATCATCCTAGGCGGTCAGTGACTAAGACAAACAGGCGACGAAGGCTGGAGAAATGACGAGCGAGTCGTTAACTTTTTTTTTAACTCGCGCATTCCGCGCGTTGCTTCTCGCTTCGCTACGCACACGCAATGCAACGCAACGCAACGGAACACGCTGCTGGCCAGTCTCATTTCATCATTCCGACTCTCACGCTCCGACCGCAGCAATCGTGATATTGGGTCCGATAGCAATTTTCTAATCGTCCGCTCTCCTCTTAATGAAAGCCCCGACCACGTGGAGCCTCTTAATTCCCCCAATCAAGAGATCCTTCGCCTTTGGATTCTTCACCTGAATCAAATGAACGTAGAGTTTAATCAAGAAGGAAATAATCTGTTTCTAAAGTAGAAGGTTCATTATATCCGACGAATCAACAATCAAAATATTTTCACGATTCATTATGCGTCTTGTGATGCGTGGAACAAAACTCGTTTGCGAGATTTGACTTTAGATTCATCCTGCACTCAGAAGTACACGTATAACTCATGATTTATAATATATATATATGTAATATATAAAATATTAAAATACTTTTGAATACTAATGGCGTGTATTGCAAATTAAGTTTTATGTGATTATTATTATTATTATTATTTTGGATTTTAATTTAATCGAATTTTAATTTAAGAAAAGAGACAGATTTAGTTACAAAAATATATTTAAATTTAGAATATTTTTTCCTCGATTCTTTCGTTAAGAAAGTTCTTTTTTTTAGAGAAAAAAATTTTTTATTAAAAATTTAAGAGAACTTTATCAAAAAATTCAAAACTAAATGCGATTGGCATTCTATAATGCTTTATTTGATTTATTATATTACTATGTGATTGTAGGAATAATTGTATATCTGCTAGAATTAATACATTAGAACTTATCACGACGAAGTGTCTTAATGTAAAGCTCCTTTACGTTTTAGGATCTTGTGTGTTTCCATCAAGTTGGACGGGAGAATGGTACCAGTATGGGAAACCCGTATTCGCTATAAATACAACCGTTCTCGGAGATAGAGTCTGCGTCGAAAGAACAGATGACAAATATGTCGTTCTGTAAGTATTCGCTCATCTAAATATCAGAAAAAATATTAAATTAATCATGTCTTTTTATTATCAAATATTCGTTCAGGATTAACAACGGAAATTTTGCTTACAGTTATAGCACCGAGAACTGCTATCATTGTATGATTATCAACGGACGACATGAGAACGTTATTCAATATCGTGAAGGTACGTTCATCCTCTAAATTTATCGATATTGAGATTACATTTGAAACGCGATATCGCAGGTTTTTTGGAAAACTAGCCTTTTTATAAAGCGTCGAATTTTTACTGATTAGCTTTTTGTAAAGGGGCTAAATTTATAAAGAATCTGCGACATATAGAAATAAGAGGTCGTTAAAACTAAAAATATTTTCTCCAGGCCCGTGGTGTAGCGCGGAACGAACAAGTTTGGAAGAAATGTGCGGTACGATCACCTCAGATGACATGCTGTATTCGATGTTCCGCATGAACTCCAAACCGATAGCCTGCCCATTCAGCGGGTCGTCGTTCACATTCACGTATAATCGAGGTTACGGCGAATGTACAATGCCTATAAGTCTCGCGGAGAAATGTACAGACGAGAGTAAGCTTCTTCTCAAGTACCAGGCCTGTCCGGACGTCGAAGGGACCGAGAGTAACAGTATGTTGATCGTTGCTAAAGTATTATCTATTTTGCTATACTGTAAGGTTTGGAACGTTTTGATTTACCGCGCTTAATACATCATACTACTATTGTACAGGTATAAAACACTTTGTCAAATTGTTTTCGGACGAATATTATAAAAGTAATATCCACACAATGGGACAGTTTCAATGTAATCTGCTTAATAACATTTTTATAGTCTTTGAAGAAGTGTTATAAGTTTCTTTTTCAGTTTTATGCGAACATTATTATTCTATTTTTTTAACGACAGTTTTAAAAAAGTTAACACATGTATAATTAAATATTTTGAATATTTAATATAATATACATTTTTAATATAATATATAAAATTAATTTTATTTTGCAACACATATTTTTATGTTATATAAAATATATTTGATCATTTGCAGCCGAGGAACTACAATGCCTTGCCGTTTGGAACGATGGCCGAAATAAATATCTGGTGGGAACCCTGAGAGGGAGAAGCGTTCTGAGTGCAAAGATGTACAGGTGAACCATGTCATTTTAATTCCATGTAACGTATTATTTTCAAATCCGTGACAGCAGTGGCTTTTCGCTGTTGCGATTTTGTCATGGCATACTGTGTGCATCAAGTTGCTTATTTACGTCCGTTGCACCTGTACGCCAGATGTTTGTGTATTGCGGTTTTAGCAAGTCACATTTTAGCATGATGTTTATGGCATTAGAAGATTATAGCTGATATTAGGACAAGGTGAAAAGATGATTAACCGCTTATTTGTCATCTTTCACGTAGCCATTATTGTCATTCTTATGTTTTTTTATTACTTTCATAAGGCGTATATAAATATATATACTCATAAAAACGCGATAACTAATAAAAAAGAAGAATAAAATATAGCCTCTGAAAAATTTGAGAAATCGTTAAATAATATTTTTACGAACTCATAGGTGTTTTCTGTACGAAGAAAAGCCTCATCATCAAGGAAAAATGATTTATTTGCTTGCCCAATCTGGCGATCCGACTTGCAATGGTTTAACCACCGTTTCTGAGGGTTCACCCACCATAAAGCTTACTAAAGGTAATTGTGCGAAATGAAAATATCTCCTTCAGAATCAACAAAAGTTTTTATTTAATCTTCTATATCCTTTTGTTAACAGTCGATAAAGAACACAGTAGATGTAAATATCCGGTCTGGGTAACTGAGCACCATGACTGGCACTCTCTCGACGGTACGAAGGACTATCACTTCACGAACAAGAATTCCACTCTGAAAATAAAGGCGCAAGCGCAGGATGTCAATGGCGAAGCGTTCCATGAGGAAAAAATCGTTTGTCATAATTTAGAAAAATTGTATCCGAACGAAAGCATGGGGAATAAAGTGAAACTAGTCGCTCATGTCACCAGCGGCTGGTAAGTAATTTCTCACTTCTCTTGCGGTTTCTAAAACATATTATTCAGTTTCGTCAACGGAATCTTTTCTTACTTATGATTGCAGCGACATTGGTTACGTTTGCATGATATTCCACAAAAGAGACAGTCGTATTATTGAGATACAGCAATCAGGTAAATATACTTTGAGTATGCATTGAATTAAATTAAATTAAATTGTTGTATTGAATTAAAAATCGATTGCGCGATGTATACGAAACACTTTTCTATTTTTTCATTGCAGATCAAAAAGCGATTATGCCAGACGAGGCGTGCTCCATCTCCGATCCTTCCACGATGCCGTATACGACCTTAATAAGTAAGTGCTAATCCATGTTATATCGTCGCTTATGAATATTTATATAGGATTGCGTACCGCGCATTCCACGTTATTACGGGTTCAATGGAGTTAGTGGGCGAACAGCAAAATGCATATGCAAATTACATCTATTTTCATTCTACAGCCACGTCTTTGCATCAGAGAAAATGTCCTAATCCAGGACGATACGAAATTATGGATTTTGCTCCATCGGATATGTTATCAGCTCCCATGTCAAGGCGACAGCGGCGTAGTGACTTATCGAGGACGACCAAAAGGCGAATTTGGCAGGACAACACCGAGGATGCGGAGTGCAGGAGTACGGACATTCAAGTAGGCTGTTCCTCGTCCGATCAAACTGAAATGATAATCGCCAATACATGCGAACACGAAGAGATTGGTAAATATGAACAATTTTGCACGATCGCTTTTTATAATCTATTAGAGATGTGTCCATGCACACATAGAAAAGCAAGAAAACTAAGGACTTGATATATTTTGGCAGCCTATTTTTGTCACGGCAGTTGGGAGGAGAAAGGAATGTGGTACACGATAGCGTCGCAACGGAATTCCGAATTGCAAGCCAACCTAGGGCAAACGTTTTGTTTTTCTATGCGTCTTGAAGGTGTCAGAGACAGAGTCTTGGGAAGAGGCGGCAGGCAGAAGCAACAAGAGCAAGAATTATGGCTGTCTAGGCCATCGCGTACTTGTCAGAGAGAATCCAAGGATGAAGATACATATAGACTGTCAAATCGAGGTAATTATAAAGATATTTTCACATAATTATTATAAAACAGCCAACAAATTACCAACAGTGTTATAAAGGCTACTTAATCAAGAATTATTTTAATTAAAATTCTTTACAAAACTTATTCATAATAGGAATTGTATTCGATTGAATAAAAATAACGTTGTAAGAAGATAATACTTTTAAAAGATATTATTTCTAATATTGCAAATATTAGGCAGATGAAAAAATTGTAATAAACAATAAATAGATAATATATCTTACTGGAATAATTTACTCATTTCTATTGTAATGTTGAAAAATGGCAAAATAATTACAGTACTTTGTCATAGCTTTAAGATATATTGCGTTGAGTTTAAATGCTTGCGAACATCCTAGGTAGGATATAAATATTCAACGTTTATATTATGTTACAGGGGTGTGTGAAGATTTAACAAAGGCAGCTAATAACGCAGCGTTTGCTCCATCGTTGTCCCAGTCTTTGTTTACCTTAAGTACAGCAGCTTATGCCGTTATTAATACGCTACGCGTATTACTCTGGAGATGATCTGCAGCTATTACATAAGAACTTGAGGTACTACAATTTCCAGCACGACTTCTCAGGTATTGCGTGTTTCTGGAAGTGTATATAGCTTACATACAGTTTGATAGCTATTGAACGATAGACGAGCTGTCAGTACGTAAGAACGATGTGGGAAGCGTGCAGCTAATAATTATTATCGATATATTCATTTCCGTTTCGTTGAAACAGCAGCCTAATCATGCAAATTAGTAATCACGATTGTTCCCAACGAGACTATTTGTATATGTTCGCGAGTTTTGTACACAATTATTTTTTATAACATAATTTATCGTAATTTATCGCGAACTGTGGTATTCTAAACATTTGCTTTAGAATATAAAATTGTTTTAAAATACACAATACGAAATGGTATTTGGTACTTCAAACAAATTTATGTCGCGTACATATGCATTTTAAATATTCTATTCTATCTCGGATAATACTTTTGAGATTACGAAAGTGTGTAGTTTATACGACAGCCTCGAATCACGACCACTTCTGAATATCTAAACTCGAAGACTCACATGTATATTCTTAAGTACTACCGCGCTACTGTAAATACGACCAGGGTATAAGTAATCGAGATATTTCAATTGAGTTATTTTCGATTGAAAATTGGGATATGCTGTGTAATTACAATTTGACAGATTGAACTCGTATTTAATATAAAATAAAGCAAGAGACATAGGTTTTATCTTTTAGCTAGTATATATAATAATTGTACATAATATAATTGAAATATTGTATAAAGACTGTTTTTAAAAGAGTATAACAGTATACCGCTCACGATATTGCATATTGTCACTGAAAGTGCGTGCATTTTCAAGAACATTCTCGAGATCGGCCTCGCAATCGAAGATCCGCGTACGTATGACACTCGTGTTACATTATCATTTATAAGTTCATGAATCGGAATAACTTAAAGAATAGAAAAAATTTAGCAAATAAAAAAAAATTATTTCATGTCAGTTTCTATAAAAATCGAATATGCATCAATACGAAATTTATCAAAAAACTGGAACTAAACAAAATTTAAGCTTCAAGCTTACAATTCTATCAAGACAATTGTTAAAAAATATCAATTTTTTAATTATTACTTGTATAACTCAGGATTTGTTCATTTATATGTAGTGGTTTTATTCTTTAATTTATTAATTAAATTTTTTTTTGTCGCGTAGTTCTTGTTTTTTAAATTTGATTATATTATATACTGACATCCGTTAATTGCTTCTTTTGCTCTTTTTAATTTTTGTTTATCTCTCTGGAGCTTTTCTATATTGTATCCAATATTTTAAAATTGCATAGTATAGAAGAGGTACATTTCCCTTGACACATTTTTCTCCGGAGATTATTATCTTGTGATTCTGAAATTAATAATTTTAAAGCATCTTTGGAAAGTTGAAGGTAAAAATCATTGCTTTATCACATTGATAAACTTATCGAACGACGTTGTCGCATCGTCGAAGATTTTCGATAGGCCTAACATATAGATGACTGAGTGTGGTACATTTGCGGATGCATTAAAACACGCACTCGTCGCGTGTAAATATACATAGTGCTTTTGCATTTCTGACACAGAGCTAGTGGATGTTGGAATAAATCAATCGCAAATCTCGCTACCTCCTATTTATCATTGACGTTATCACACACAATTCGACATATGTATCGCAATTTAAATGTATGGCCTCTGCATCGGTTTACATCGTCGTGCTCGAATATCGATCAAGTTTCGATCCGCGCCACGCTGGATTCATATATCACGATGAGATATTTCCTTTTAAATACTCGGTGATACATTTTTTTGACAATTTAATACGTATATAATCTCTTGCAAATGTAACTGTACAAATGCGTACTGTACAAATATCAACGAGTCATTCGTGTGTTTTCTATTGCATTTTCGAAAATTAAGATAGCGTACAATTCTCACTAACGATACTTACATATAATCTGAAAATTAATATTTACATCGTGTGTAAATCGGATGATTTCGAGAAATATAGTTTGTATCTTTATCGTAACTCTCTATATTTCTTATAATTTATATTATTTGGATTTTTATATGGATGTTGCAACACTCATTGTTACTTTTTGATTGAAAATTTGATCTATTTCGTGTTTCAAAGTATTTTCATATTAGCGGCAGTGTGTGTGACGGTATTAATAATAAATCATAGATTTTCATTGCCAACATTTTAGCCGAGGAGATAATATGGCTGGGTTGATAAGATTTAAAAATACTAATTTGTATAGCGTTGATTAAATAACATCCTGGAATCTGTGAAATTTGTACTGATTCGTGTATGAAACAAGAATAACATAATAATCTATACAATATTACGAACGAGGGAGGGAAGCCGAGAATACGGTCCATCACGTGAAGCTCAATAATTTTCTATTTTTATCAAATGGCACTTTCACATACGTACTACACACACACACACACACACACACACTGCAATTGTACATATATAAAGTTTTATTGATCATATGCGTATATATGTACACACAGATATATATTGCATATATGAAGCCACACGTGTTAACTATAGGGGAAGCGAAGAAGCGATAGAAGAAAAAAAGTACGTAGAGGAACTCGTGGATACACATTTTAGTACGTATTTCGTCATCCATTAACTCTGTGATATCAATCTCATATACGCGTAAATGTGACAGCCAAAAGAGAAACGAAACTGAACTCTAAAAACACATTTTTATTGTATATATCGTATATTTTCTAAATAATGGACTGTTCCGGAATTCAGGAGATTTGTTGAAGTAAGCGAAAGTGTATGGATTCGAATTATATTAAATATTTGAGCATTTAAATAACGAAGACAGATTCTTATTTTTATACAGATAGGATGGACTTATCGCGATGTCCTAATCTCCCTACACACACGAAACTTCACACGATAAGCGAAAACGTAGTCATATACATACGAGTAGATATTTTACGTAAGTTTTGTAATTACTGCATTTTTATATCGTTAGCATCTCATCTCCGAAAGCAAGAAGCAATTCTCGACTGTAGACGCCTAGTTCATTGCCGTCGCAAACATTTTTTATTATAATTATTAATATTTTCTCAGCATATATATTATATTAATATTTTATTATATTTTTTGTACGACTCTATTGTTTTATATATATATATACATATATACTATTTTGAGAGACACGAGATATCTAATAATAGTGACACAGTGCAGGCCTTGTTACTTTATGCGCGTTTGAAAATGCGAAACAGAAACGACAACCGATATGCCTTAAATATACAATTTCTAATGCCTTATGCGAATCACAAAAGTATGAACGGTCGGTTACTTTTACACACTGGAATGATCCCGTGTACGATTTTCTTTGACAAAATTCCACAGGACTGATACACATTGCGTGCGTGCGTATATTAACGATATTAAATTATCACATCTACACACAGCGTGAACGTACGATCCCCCCATATAGTCGATACGACTGTATTGAATTCCGGAAACAGATATTACACGATGTAACTTTAATACTTCTAAAGTAAGCTCTAATTTGTAAGGTGTGGAAATGAGTAATTGAAAGTCGCGAGAGAAACGCTCGCGCGAAAACGAAAGGGAGAGACACGAAAGAGAGATGATAACTCACGAGTTTTGTACATCCACATGCGCACACATATATTTTGTTTATTGCTGTGATGAATTATGTAATTATAAATATTAGCGTATAAGGCGATTTGAAAATGCGGCTTTTCTTGCCATTCAAATATAATTGCAAGCATTAGTCATACTTCTCCCCTCCCCCGCTGTTCGAATATAAGCCTCTTTGAAAAACCTTACGGTTACGGAACAAGACGACCTATTTATCCTCGATGTATTTAATTGTACGATATTTACGGCATACTTGTAAAGCGCCTTGGATAAACGACTCGTCCAGAAGGCGATTCGCCGCAACGACAATTTCGTACAGGAAAAAAAAGATCTGATTTATTTTGCTACACGCGTGCGGGAATTATGCGAGAACAAACTACGAGTGTATATGTTTATCCTCGCGCGAAACTGACACGGTACTTACTCAACGATGCTAATATAACAGGGAGACTTTTCTTAATAAATAAAAAGATTATTGCCAACACTTTTTTGTGTGTGTCGATGAAGTCTCAAACTACTTCCTTCACTTCTTTGTTGTTTGTAATCAATAGCGTTGTGCTGTAATTACTATCGTCAAATTACTTCCCGATGAATTACAATTTCATAACGATTAATATGAAACAATCAGGGGTCGGTGTCGCCGACTCTCTATCTCTTACGAAAGTAGATCTTTTTAATTTCTCAATATCGAGTAAAATAATTGTTTTGAAAGATATAAAAAGAAAAGCAAAATCAATTGATTTAAATGAAACTTTAGATTAAAAAGTATTGTTATAATATAAGATTATTGGATCATAACAACTGGTGCATTTAATCGACGCAAAAGGAATTGATATTAACTTATATATGTATATTGATCACTTAGATTATAAAGAAACTTAAAAAGACATTATTTGCACGCGTTGCGTGTATCTATGATGCAATTCTCAAAGAATGGATATCAGAAAAATGAAAAATAATCACGAAGCAAAATTACGATAGAGGGATGCGAAACGCAAGTATAATAGAATTGTAATAATAGCTGGTCGTATATAAAAAGAAATATATTTCTATCATCATGCGCATTTTAATGGGGGCTAATTTTTGCACAGCTTGATTTATTTCGCGAAAGAAATAGTAACTCATTCGCTCAATCTCGGCACGTAACGACGATTCGCGTGACTGCGGCGAATTCATTTTCTTCGCGCATGCAAAATTCCGAATGATTTAAAGTCCGCCGGTTTAACAGCTACAACACAATGTCGGTTAACCCCGTTAAATTAAACTTTTTTTAGATAAGTTGTGTTAAACGGAGAATAACATTTTTATGATTAACTAATTTGCAATTTGTGTTAAGAGAGAAAATTCGTTTCGCATATTTAATTATATATAATTTTACAATAAACATTATATATTATTTTAATTTTATAACAACATTAATTAATTTTACATTTTGTGTTGAATTTATATCATAATCGTTTGAATTTTTTCATCTGGAGATATTAACAATTTTTTTCTATTTATTATATTATTATTTTTTCAATATTTATTATTGCAAGAGCAATAATATATACAAATAATTAATCAAGACTTTCACAATTAATTTTAAGTTTGTTGATCATCTATTTATCAAAATTATAATTTTTCATGGAAAATTTCTATTATGTATTATTTAATCATCACTAAGATTATATGATTATGAGCTAGGACAATAATATTTTAAAGAATTTGTGTACTACTCCGGAACATACACTAAATATGAACAAAAAATATATTTCTGCGATGGAAAATCACTAGGGTAAAGAACTTTAAAGAGCATAATCGTTGTCAAGACTCGCGCAGACGCGTTCCTTTGATTTTCTTCGCGATTTCGTCAGTTCAATCGCAAAGATAGTAGCACTACCATCGGTAGTTAAATACAGGAGGTAAAATCATCAGCACCGTCTTCGTATTATCAGAATAGTGATAATCTGTTGCGCGAAATCTTCCCGTCCAATAACGGTATTTTATCATTAAAGATACTTATTTCGGCGTCTTTTTATTAAAAAAAAGATCGTATAAAATATATATGAAATGATATCAGTTTATTGCATTGTAATTATCAAGTTTAATTTTTTACAACGATTAATAATATCGATATTAGCAGGATATGCCGTAAATATTTCCGCAGGACGTACTTTTATGTCTCAGCAAAATATGTTTATTCACATCATTCGAATCTCGGAGCGGCCGGATCCTTATCGGCCCACTTAAAGCGCCGATAACATGCGCCGAGTGAACGGCTGGTGCTCCTCGCCACCCTTCCACGGCTTCCACCCTTGTGATAGGGCGTAGGGTCGCGCGCACACTGGCCTAGTCGAAGGCAGGCACCACGTGCTGCTGCCAGACGTATAATCGATAGTGCACCGTGCTCTCTGTGCCACCGGCGGTCAATCAACCCTCGCGCGTTTGGGGCCGGCCGGATGTGCGATGCTCTTTAACGCAACGTAAGGTGTGCGACGTATCGAGGAGAGATCGCGGTCATCGTCTGAAATGACAACGGTTGAACGCGTTTATTCGTTCATCGCATTGACTTTGCCGTAAGTCACATTCTCATCTCAAAAACATCACGATCATCACGTTTGCACCGCCAATTGCACATTTTCTTTTTATTTATTTTTTTTATTTATTTCTTTTGCGATTACTTTGAATGACTAATTATTCCATGCGTTCACAGCGTTAAATTTCGTAAATGATACATTTTGTTACGAATGTGAAATTAATTCTCATCATGCGATAGTTTGGAGATTAGAAAGTAACTGCAGTTTTCAATGTCGAATATCTTAGTAAAATTTATAGTAGAATTTTTGTTTAAATAACAGCAACTTGAAGAAACTTAATTTGTTTTCAATTTTCAATGTTAAAAATATTTCCATAATGAGAATATTGTATATATATGTATATATATATATTTTTTTTAATTATCGCTAAGATTACAACATTAAATTTATTAAAGATTCTTATTAAATGTGGAGATACAATACTTTGTGTATTATACAGACTATAATCTGTATTGCAGTTCGCGTTAGAAAGGGAATTGCTACAGTTAATTAAGCTAAGCTGTCAAAGCAACAGGCCCGTAATTACTCGGATAGCATGGTGACGCTTTACTTGTTTCGAGCAATCGAGTGACACGCTTATCGTAAGTCGAAGATACACGACCATCAGCATTTCTCTACCATTGCAATTAGTGCAATTGGAGCGGCATAAAATGACCGGCTTTGCGACAGAAGCTTTTGAAATAATATTAAAATCATAGCGCGATTATAATATTTATATAATACGAAAACATTTACATTGGCAACTGTGTTGTGAAAACGTACTTGGCATTTCACCAATTTCGATATACAGTAGAGTATTTCATAGTAAATGTGATTTTGTGATGCAGCACTTTTTTCTGCTTTTCTTTTTAATTCATTTTACGTGCAAGGCAACAGGATAACAAATTGAATAACATAGTTCGATTAGCAGTCGCTCCGAGCGACCCAGTAGGTGGGTTGCATTACGTCGATGCAGGATGCAATTAAAAGAAAAGAGTGTAGTCTCGCGAAGTTATCTACTTTGTGGCAAAGTAATATCGCGTGGTTTCTCAAGAATCGAATAGCCGAAGGTATGTACGTACGTCATATTCAAAGCATTTCACCGCTACCGAGTTTAAAGTTTTACTAACCGTCAATGCAAAGCGAATATTGCATTCATGCAGTGAATTGTATTTTATACAATTGAATCGATGATTTCGAAAAAAGCGCCACTTAATTTTCACATTAAATTATAAAAAAGGCTACCGTGAAATTATTAAAAGGTAATAAAAGTGGGTTTTAAACACCCCTCTCAATTTAGAAAAATTACATTATGAGAACTGCAAACAATTCTTATTGATTGAAAAGTAAATATCTCTTGACTCATGCCTTTTTCAACGATTCATTTATGATTCATATTGACATAATAGATGATATTGAGAGCGACAATAATATGTTATTGACAATATAACTAATATGTATGCGCGTTCATAAAAAATTGCAATATTCAACTCATTCAACTACTTTTTTATATCGTTTCCTATATATAGAAAAAATTTATTAATATAAATTATATAATAATATGAATTATTAGGTTGATTCTTTGATATGGATGAGATAATATTGTATTTTTAGAAAAATAAATAAAAAGACTAGTACAACTCAAATTATTTAAATTTCAGAAAACTCAAGATTAAACATTCTTTTTTTTGACAAATTTTTTATCTCATATAGAATTATGAATCTTATTCTTTTTATTTTAATTCGATTATGGTACTAATTTCTTTTTCATTAGAATATAGATATATTCGCGGAAATAATACTACTAATTCTTCAGAGTAAAGTCCTGATTTTCTTATGGAGATGAACACGCGATAACCAATCGTTCGGAGTGCAAAGCTAATTCTTAAATCGAAATATTCGTTTTTCAGATTTAACAGATAATTTATAGTCCTTTTAATTGCGCGATAAATATATATTTTTGTACATATAATATAATTGTTTTTGCGTATGTTTAAATTAATAAATTAATAAATAAAAAATGGGTATCATATTTTATCAAAAACGACAAGAAGATAAATCAAGAAATATGACGCT